TTAGCATAGAGTAAGCACTTAATAAAGGTGACAGTCCTCTATAGCGGCCCCTCCCTCACCATCTTTCCCCAATAGAGGAATGCTGGCAGCCTTTGTAACCAGTGAATTAAGACTGGTTGAGTTTCATGTGCAATGATATTGGAAAGAGAAAACATTATTCTTTGCACAAAGCGTCTTTGTGCTTATGTAATAAACTGTACTAAATCTAGTAAGCTGTCTTACGATTTTGTATTATGTTTAGAAAGGCAAACAATATCTATAAAAGTATAAACTGTATGGGAGAAGAAATCAATTTAAAATGTACTACGTAATGGCAAAGTGATATATTTGTGATAATTAAAGGGAATGGAGTTTGGTATGGTAAAAATTTTGAAGCAATACAAATTTTGCATAATGCACTATAATAACATCAGAAGGAAGTCAACAAAAAAGGAAAAATGAGTGATGAGTGATGAAAAATGGTTATGTTCTAAAGTAAATAATTGATGTGAAGACAATCCTTAGTGCAGAGGTAAGACAGAAGCATGCTGTTTACATAGGAGAAATATATCATATTGGCCGTGTAGATAAACCCAAATTGAATCTGCTATAAAAAACATTTTCAACTAATCAAATTAGGAATTGTGAAATAAATGTTGGAAAACTGATGCATTTAAGTTGTAACATTCTAGAGAGCATCTGATCCTGACCATGGTCTTTAAGGTATCCTCTGACTTGGTAATTTTGGATAAAATACTCAAAGACACAGCTCCAGAGAAGGAAAATATAATTTATACCAGCATTGATGATAATTACTAGTTCAGTATCTATATGTAAATAATATATATATGTAAATATATATTATATATAAATGTGTATAATATGTAAGTAAATGTAAACACATAAAGACACATTAGATATACATAAACGGAATCTGCTTCATGTCCCTGTTGAGAACAGGCAAAGCAGACATTAGCAACATAGAATAATACAAAGTTATTAAAAATGAGAATAAGCCCACAAACTATTAATATTTGGATATAGGTGCATGACATAAATTAAAATCCTGTTGTGATTCCTATTTCAGGGATAGAGGGAAGTAGAGGACCGCCAGTTGGTCCCTCAAGGATAGGATATTCTAGAGTGGGACAATAGATAACCATGAGTGACTGTTGGGTAAAGAAGGTAATTTTAGGTAACAAGTGCCATGAAGAAAATACGATGGCAATAGGGTAGAGAGGGACTTAGGACAGAAGAGTGATGTGAGGGGAGCGGGATTCTGAGCTGAGCCATGAGAGTTGAGAGGGAGCTGGCCAAGTGATGGTGGGGGTGGGGTGGGGAGCACTTCAGGTGGAAGGGCAGCGCATTTAAAGGATCTCAGACTGGACTGAGTTTGGCACGTGTGAATCAAGAGCAGGCTGGTGTGGCTAGGTCTCAGAAGAATTGTATGTTTGCGTAGATTATAATAGAAACTACGTTATTTTCGAATGGCCTAAATAGTTAGCTAAGCTTGACTTTTTTATGGTTTTTAAAAATTTTGTATTGTAGTTGTGAAATTATGGGAAAAATATAGAAGTATATGAAACAGATGTACGTTTTAAAGAAACGATAAAGCAAATATTCAGACCCATCCCTAGGGATGGGAACTGAAATACTTTTAGCCCCGTTGTAGCTTTCTGACTGCGTCACCCTCGCGGACCCCTCGTGGTAAGCATTGTATGACTGGAGATCATGACCCACTTGCTGTTCTGTGATTTTGTGATCCATATATGCAACCCAAACATATACTCAGGGTGGCTTGTTTTGAGCTTTATATAGAAGAACCATACTGTGTGTGTTCCTTCTTCTTGCTGCTTTCCCTCCAAACTGAGTTTCTTCTGTGTTGATGTGTGAATTGTAGTTGGTTTTTACTCTACAATATTAGATTGGTGCAAAGGTAATTGTGGTTTTTGCAATTATTTTCAACCTGTTGAACCACAATTACATTTGCACCAACCTAATATATGAATATACTGTAATTTACTCATTTGTTCTTCTGTTGA